TCAAAAATGTATCAATATTTAACAGAAAAAATTTGCAACCTCATTCTTAAGGTGAGGATGCATATATTCCATAATGATTTGAGGGTTGAGTTTTATATTTTTAATGAAATTTGTAGCTCAGGGAATGGAGTGTCTTAGGTATGGGAGCACCCTTGGCAAATTTCACCTATGTGGGTGTCGAAGTGAGCCTGCTTCTATGAAAATTGGATGGGCAGTTTTTTAGATCACCTATGAAAATTAACATCATGGACAAGGCCATAATGCGCCAGCTATGTGAAAAACTCAACATTCGAATCATTATGTGTGTGATGCGATTCTTGTATCTTCCTATGGGTCATACTTCAAAACTTAGTTCAATATTAACTTTGGATTAAGAATTGTTAACTTATTAAGTAAAGGTTCAATCCTTAGTTACCTTTATTATGCATAATAAGCCATCTTTGTCTAAAAGAAATGTTTATTTTTTACGAAAATAGTGGAGGAATTGTTGGAACTTAAATATTTTAATAAAAATAAAACTATATTTTATAAATTGAATTTATTACCCTATTAAAAACTTGGCCAAACTAGATGTTATAGATTAATTGCTTTACTTAAAGGTACATTATTTCATAATAATTATCCAATTTATTTCTATCATTAACTTATAAATGGAGTTACATGATTATGAGCCCAATAAATAGGGTATGTCATTTTGCTCAACTATGGTGAAGTTTCTCCACATTCTTGTGCCTTTTTACGTTACTCTATTTTCTTTGGCAAAGAAAGTTTTTTTGATTTAGTTGACTTTATGTGTAACACATATTTATAAAGTGTTATTTTAAAGTTGTAGCATTTTAGGGGTGACATGTTATCTATATCTTTACCACACCGATCAATCTACTCTCCACAGACGCATAAATCGCCTTAAAATAAATAAGGTTTTCATGTCTATTTCAATGATATGTTATTATTAATATTTTCTAATAAATTCACTAATTGTTATTTTGTTTGATCTTGTGATTGAGACACAACAATGACATGATGTGGAGTTGAAAAAAAATGTTCAAGGAACAACACCTTTTCCTTTCTAGTAGTTGACCTCTAAGTAAGATGGTTAAAAAGGATGTCTATTTGTGAATTGTTTTATGTCTCAGATGGTGTTGCAAAACATAGGGTGGGGTTCCACAAAATGAGTTCTTATTTCACTTAGACAACTTCAAGGATGGGTTCCATATGCTTTGAACAACTCTAAGGATTTTAAAACTACAAAGACGTATAAAAAGGCACTAATCCTAAACTAAACACTATCTTAAATCAATTAACTAAAAACAATATAGAAACAACAAACATTTTGGGAAATTCATATATAGATGACTAGGTGAATTTACAAACTACACCTAAAATTCTATAGACAATGATGAATTCTAGAAATTGACTTCAAAATAATTTCAAAAGTTGAGAACACTTCTAGATTAACCTAAAATGAATTAAACTACTTAAAGATCTAATTCTAAATTAAATTTGAATACAATCTAATTGTAAATTAGTCTAAGATTTGGAAAATTGCAATCTAAATTTTGCTTCAAAATTAAGAGTAAATAGCCTAAAAATCATGAATTTTTAGCATGAACAAAGGCATTAAACAAGCAGCCATTCAACCCAATCAAAAGAATAATTAAAGGAGTAGAATCCATGACTAACCAAATTAACAAGGAAGATCCAAACACCAAGGTTGGTTGACTTCCACATCTTCAAATATTAACAAAGATGCAATCTTTGTAGAAATCTTTAAATAAAACAAGAGATTCACACAAAAACTACAAACAAGAGTAGATTGTCAAACTTTAGTCTAGAAATCGTGCAGAAAAATAGTTAAGCAAATTTGCCTAAAGAAATTGAATTTTTTCCCCTATTTTCCTTTTTTCTGTTGCTAGGGTGGTTGCTTCATGATTTTCGGGTTTGATTCCCTATCTAACTCAAATAAACCCTAATGTGTCATTCTCCTATCAATCCTCTTAACTTCCTAATTGGATTAAAACTCAATTAAATGTAAAGATATGCCTTATCCTTTACCATGTGGCACCAGCCCAGTATTCACCTTCGTTTGGTCTTCAGACCACTAACAGGCAGGCTCTAGATTAGCATTATAAGCT